TACAACTGTTTGGCTTTAATCCTTTCCGTTCTTGACTGCTGTAGCTTCGCGCATAGCAAAATCCGTGTCAGCTTTAATTTTCTTCAAACATCATATTCCCCAATCGTTTTGGCTGATGTTGCTGCCCTGGAATTTGATGTGTACTTTAACGTGAGGCGCGCCATGCGACTTTTTTCAAATGTTCAAAAAAGTATTAAAATTTGTAATTAATAAAAACTTTGTCTTGCTCATAGCCCGATAATAGACGCTAAGAGATAGTGCACGGTCTCATTTCCGTTCAATCCTTGAATTTTCGAAAAAATACAAAAATTTCAAACACTTCTCTACAGATTTTAATATGAAGATAGATATTTTTCTAAAATAAAATCTGTCTTAAAAAGACATCTTAAAAATAACGCGCTAAATATTCATAGTATTCGCACACTACAAGCAGTTTTAGTACTAATGTTTTGTGCCGAAAATATAGGCGTTTTTAAGAAAACTTTTTTTCTCTCAAGTACCCCGATCTTTTTCTTTACATATTATTCAGCATATAGTAATAAGTGCCGCTAAAAACGCTAGAGTATTGATTGGTTTTTACGCAAAATGCAGCAAATACTAAAGATTTCAAAATTCTACAAATTGAAGATCATTTGATGAATGCAATGATAATCGAAGAGAACATCAATTTATATCCGAAATACACTTCCGGCCACATGAATTCTTAACAAGTAGAAGGTAGTTGGCTGCTATTGCAGTATCAGCTAGTTTAAAAAGCTTATAATCAAAGGAATAAAAGATAAATAAAATATCTATAAGAGAATAGACAAATGATATCACACCGGTATCCAGTCTGAATTATTAAAATGAACAAAAGAAAAGCAAACTAATACGTAAGGATACATAATAAAAATATTATTGAAAAATTTTCGACAAAAACAGCCATAATGATACCTGAATTCTTTTCCATTCAGTCTGTGCTGTTGAGTCAATAGCTAAGATTTTCATATAGTAGTGTTTTCAGAATCAACTTATATTATTCCTGTTCAGATCGTCATCGGCTTTCAAAACACCCGTCAAATCCATGAATAGCAACACTGCCCAACCGATGTTTTGCCAAAGAGAGATCTGTAGATCATATATTTTCATTAATATTCTTAGCATGCTCAAATACACGAATGAAATATCTCGCTGTGAGTTGGTCTCTGAAATACCGTACCTTGTAAGTGCGGCTAAAAGATAAGAAACTCGTCACAGATTCTTTAATTGAACAGCAAGTTATATTACATTTCTTATAACAAGTACTGTTATATTTCTTGTAAGCTCGGCAGATCGGAGTAAAAGGATGTATTCCTATGTAACGCAGGGCATTCAGCGGTGCGCCTATTTTCAAATACGCAAGCTGACCTGCTGCAGACCGACAACATCGCCGGCATGATACGCTGCCCCCATCTTTGTGCCAGACCCGCCTCCTCCCCCGCCGCCCCTTCAACCATACCAGCCATGGCCTCATGCTTCCTAAATAACTCCGTGAAGGCAGACGCTCCCGGTTGCAAAGTCACTCCTCCAGCGCATTGCAGCGCCCCGAGTTGGCAAATTGAAGCTCAGCTACCCAATCCCCGGAGCAATCCAGTCACAAGTACACGCAGCAACAGTTATACGTATGAGATTCTTCACTTGATCATGGCGCAAAGAGGAGATAATATTCTACTACACAAAATACACACAGATCCTTAACAATTACTTGGAGAAGATGATTTGTATTAGGGGATGTGTTCTAAGAGCGCTGTGCCACCTGGGGCGAGCTGTGGTGTAATTGCAAAGCAATACCACGGCCGCCGAACATCTCGGCGACACTCGTCCTCACACTACCAACAGCGCAAAGCGCTGTCTTCCGCTTCCGGACGCTCCTTCACAGACCCCCTTCCCCACTGCTTCTCTCTCTCCTGAATAACTATGCCACAGAGCCATGCACACACAAAGCATAGCTAGGTTTCGGCTCCCGGGCGGCAGCTCACCCTCTCAGTCACCAAAGACGCAAATGCAAAAGATGACAAGATGACGCAATTTTAAAAGAAGTGTACATGAATAACCAGTTATGAGATTCTTCACTTTTTAGTGCAAAAAGTGATTAATCTTCTACACATTAAGTGCCAAAAAAGCCTTGTAAAATTATATGGAGACAATAGTTTGTTTTAAGCGGTGAATGTGGCTTTGCCGTGTTGTAAGTTGCCAAGGGCCGTGGACGCAATAGGCAATATTGCTGCCTGCTGGCCGCGAAGATCTCGGAGCGTACTCCGCTGCACCTTCATGCAGACCCTCTACAATTACGAGACTCTCAGCTCGGCATGCCGCCACCGCTGGAGACTTCTGTGCAGGAAGCTCGCCAGAACCCGATACAGTCTTGAAAACGAATGCGGATGGCTTAGCCTCTTGTTCCCACTTCAGCTAGCAGGCTGCTGAGAACCTCCGCCTGAGGCCGACGAGCCGCCTGCCAGAGCCACCGCTCGACCGAAATTTTCCATACGGAAGCATTCAATGGAACCCCGCAGGCTGAGCGCGCGATGTGCACACGGCCTTGCTGCCTCCTTCTCGCAGCACAACCGCCAAGAGCAGCTTAGCGCGCGCAGCTCAACTTGCCCGAGCGGTTCAGCAGGACGGAGAGGAACTCATAATGGCTTTGTTATTTCAATATATTGTAACGTCCGTTGGTTGTAGGGATCTACACCACAAGGAACAGACACGAGTGAGTATATCAAGTTTTATTTACATACTGTCATATTTACAACCCTCACTCTAAGGCGATTTTGCCTAGAGCTACCACTGGGGGCAGCCCTCCTCCTCCTTACATGCGCCTTGCGGCGACGCCCTACGACCGGCCAGCAAGGCCGCGTCGTAGATTGGCACCTGGTGTGCCCCGGAGATTGACGATCTGCCCGAATGTGTTCTTGAAGAACACATCACCCTGTCCCGAACTCGTCGAACAGCCACGGTGCCCTCGGCACTCGCCACCAAGCCTGGGCGGACAAAGTTTTTTGTGGTCAGCCACGAGGAAACCGAACGTTACCACGCGCCGTCCTCGCCTCACGGCGTCTTTTATAGGTCCAGGTCACTGACCTCCTACGTCCACTACTTTCCACCCCCGCGCGGTGGAAAGCCTTTTCCCTGGCGCTTGCTGGGCCGCGCGGACCAATTTTTCCTGTCGAAGAATCCCTTCTTTGTTCTATCTTTAGATCCCCCAGCCCTCTACCTTGCACTCGGCTGCTGCCACGCCGTGACGCTACAATATGCCGAGTATAATGCGAAGAACACTTCCCTGGGACTTGCTATAGTCGAAGTAGTAGAAATGGCAGAAACAATTTAAAAATGCAAAATTTCGAAGAAGGAAAATTTACTGTAATACTTCAAAACCTGGACTGGTTTAACCTATTGTTCTACTTCAGCTGCAGATGACAGTTGACCCAACCTTGATGCCGCTCGTGACGCCGTTCGGAGATTCTACCTCCAAGGGGCTCATGAACCGCAAGCAGACTGTGTCCGGCGCGTGCACTCGGTGCAATTGCTATCTCATTTCCTTGCCTTCTCGCCGCACCAACTACCGAGAGGAGCCTTAGTCGCCATCTCGACCTTCCGAGCCGACTCAGCAGCGCATAAAAATCTCACTAGGGCTCGGTCATGTACAGTATATAAGGAGCAGAAGATAATTACCCTCCCATTTTTCTACTTCTGCTTGATACAGCCAAACTTGTGTTATGGCAAAAAGATTTTTAAAAAATATTTCAAAAATCCAAAATTTTGAGTTCAAAATTTCAAAACCTGTTCTGGCTAAGCCTCTCGGTAACCTCAGACGCAGTTGATGCAGTAGTTATGTGCCTCTGATAGTAGGCAACTCGTTGCGCATTGTTGTTGGCAGTCACAAATGTTCTAAGACCAAAAACATTCAAAATAATTTTTCACATTTACAAGTACGATAACATCGCGTTTGTATATGTCTTCTGTGTTAAGCTTTCACGTCATTTACATAGTACTATTCTGATCCCTTCAAATTATCTATGTTTATAATATTTTTTTATTTTTCTAATGTTAACATTTTCTGTTCTTTCACTAACAATTTTAACTTGATGTTTTAAGGTTTTGATACTTTGCACTGATAATTTTGAATTTTCGATATACAACATTTAAAAATGATTTCTGTTACTTCTTTGCCTATATCAAGTTCCAGGGAAAGATAAGTGTCGTTTGCGATCTACTCCGCATGTACTGTAAATGACCGAGCTCTTATGATTTTTCTCCGCCCTGCTGAACAGGCTCGGATGTCCACTGCGCCTCCGCAACTGAGCTTCTTGCATAGGTAGAGAGATGTCACGGTCGGCAGCCCCCAAAAGGTCTACAGCGACCGACGACTGCACATGAGCCAAGTGTACAGAGTTTCCCAAATACTCGTGACAAGTATATTAGAGTAAATAGGTATACGAGATTTTTCATGCCTACAGAGTGTGGAGAAATTGTAAACCCATATGCAGGCAAGGAACATTGTTGATAAAAAAATATTAAAAATAAAACTTTATAATGGGCAAAAAATACAGAAACGTAACCGTTAAAGGCTGGAGAAAGACTGGACACACTTTTAATTATATTATTAAATAAATATATAAATTAATTGTTAGTTTGTGAATTATATTTTCTGAATCACATTCGTATTTGTAACAAGTGTTCACTTAAAATTTTATCAAACAAAAATGAGTAAGTGGAAGAAAAAAGCGAATGATAAATTATTACCAGAGTGATTACAAGGATTAAGTATCCTAAAAATGTCATGCATTGGTCGGTTATTTGTGGGAGAGAACTGGGGAGTATCCAAATCAAAAAACAAAAATGGTTTATGTGTGAAGACCAATACACTACGATTCTACGAGTGAAGCTTGTATCTCTGCTAAAAGAAAGGTTATCCTACGAAAACTTTATCTTTATAAAATACGAAACATGTTAAACGGCCAAATTTCTCTCAGACAATCGGATACCTCTTCTGGATTCGCCGGGTAACTCCCCGGATCAGTATCTTTAAGAACACTAACATACACCTGGAAAGAGACGATTTATAAGGAAAAAGTTACCAATAAGATCACTTTAATCTATTTTTTTATTCGATCCACAACGATAAATATAAAATAAACGCTTTGAACTGCATTGATAGCATGTTACGACGAGTGACGGCAACTACCAAGTGAAAGGGTGGTTCATCAAAATATTTAAAAAAAGAACAATATTTGAACTGTCACCTTTTTTCAATGTTATTGAACACTAATTTATTAATGAATTAATGATTTACACTTATTATTAAACATTTACTGTCTGAGCGTATTACACAAAAATTAAGACTACACTCTACAAAAGTCACGCAGTCTCATTAATACAAGTCGATACTTCGAGAAAACAGTCATAGAGACACGAGAACTTTTTTTATTCACTCTGGGGGTTGAATCAATTATTATTTCTAAGTAGTGTTTAAAGAATGAATCAAGAATATTGTTTCTGTTACGATTTCATTGCTTCAACTCCCATTTAATCCATGAAATAATCACTTTCTGTCAATGTGCCGCATTAGAAATCTGTCGATAAGAGTTGGTCACGTGGAATACAAATTTTGTACCTGTTAATCGATGTTTTCTAACGCCTCTAATTGAACAGCAAAGACTACATTCTATTCCCTAGAGCCGTAAGGGACTGTTATATTTCATGAAGAGGGGGCCTGAAGATAGCGGGGGGTAGCATTATTGCGTGAAAAGTCGCATTATATTTCAGCATAGAAGAAATAAAACTTTGAATTGTATGATTCCAATAAAAAATATTATTTCTCTAAATATTTAAGTGAACAGACCAGTCAAGAAAACGTCTCTAGCCAAACCACCATCCGATAACAAGATTATTTATACATTTATAAATCGCATAGAGAGGTCGATTTTTTTCAATAAATGTGTGATGGGATATAGCTACCATAGAAGTTCCGCAAATTATCTTTACCGCTTACCTATATAGTAATATTATCGTGATATCGTAATATTATACAGCATCGTACACTGCTATTTGGCAGGTACATGTTCTGACTCAATACTTTGTGTGCCTGTCAACATCAATGAAACGAGTTGCCTACAAGTAGGTGCAAAAGTCACAAGGGCATATGTGTATCAACAGCAAACATTTCCCCCTTTCACTAGGCTCTGGAAATGGAGATACGATGCGGTGTTGGCACTCCGCTGCCGACCTCTACTCGAGCCAACTCCACCTCCACTCAATCCTCATCAGATCCCTCAACCTTTTGCCATCATAACAATTTTGCCTCTGAAGAAGAAATTCTGTACATTCGGTAGACTCGGCGTCTGAAAGACACGGGGGGTCTGAAACACACTATGGTCCGACACAGAAGCAGACTTGCGCAGCTAGACTGGCTCAGCCGCTCGTTCTACCTAAAGCGCAGAGGCTAACGAAGAAGCAACACCAGAAGCCGCGCGTGCCGCAGCATGGCCAGCCGTTGTTGCAGACATTTTGACTTCGAAGAAGACGACAGAATATCCATTGCCTTAATCCCGGTGCGTACGCGCGGACCCTTCGCCGTCTCAGCGCTCCAACCAATGGAAGAGGCAGAACCGCCGGCCCGACCGCCAGACCCAGCGCCGCAAGTGGATGACTATCCGTAATCTTGGTGATACATATTTGCGAAGGATATGGTGAAGTTACACTGCAATCCTTCCCTTTTTACTGTTTTGTCAAAATAGTGAAAATTGCTTAAAATTTTTTAAAAAAAATCCAGTTTAAACCTTTCCGTGTCATATGTCAAAATAGGAAAATTCCCAAATTGCAAGTGAAAGCAGGATGCACATTCAAAACATAATAACAACCCCTTTTCAATTCATTATTTATTGATTGATTTACTTTATACGATAAACTTTACACGATTACTTACAAGATATTTAACGTTCAATAAACATTTAAAAAAGTGTATTACCTAAAATGTTTATTTGGATTTTAACATAAAATAATCCAGATATATCCAGATATATTAGTTGGTGCAGGCATCATTTCAACCATCAAAGCCAATTTAGCATTGTTGAGAAAAATCGTAAGGGATCATTGGTGTACAACAGATGCGGGGGAGAACCCGAATAACAATGCCGTTTAACCCTGAGACTTAATATATCCGAAATAGAGGAAATAACAGAATCATTTCAAAAATGCAAAATCGCGAATGTAGAAGCTTTTTTTATCTTAAAAATTTCTTATATGCTCTGATATACACGTTTTCAACTTCCTCTTTGTTTCGAACAGCGCTCATTAGTTTGTCTCGTGGCATACAAATTTTGGGAGTGTAATAGATAAAAAATAATCCAATTAAATTGGCATAGCCTCTTGTTCTACTTCAGCGGCAGCAGAAGCGGCTGTACCGATATCGGAGGGCAGTGCGTGCCGGAACTGTCGCGTAGACAGGCAATGCAAAGCTCGAATACTGATCCCCGGCGCCTTTGCCATTTCGCCGGGCCATCCGCCAAAAGAAGAGTCAGCCGCCTGCTCGAACGAACGACCCTGCTCAGAACGACGAAGAAAAAAAACACACGAAAGTCAAGAACACTGCTTTTACTGGGACGTGATAAAGTCGAAGTGGTGGAAATGGCAGAAGCGTTTTAAAAATTCAAACACCAACAGGACAAAATTGTCAATACCAAATTCGAAAACCTGATCTGGTTTAGCCACTTGTTTTATTTAGTCGCGGAAGAAATGGCTAAACCAACAAGCGACCTTTTGTGCCATCGTTCAGGAGGTAGTTCAGGCTCAGAGGAAACGCACGGAACGCCCCATTCTTAAACGTGTGGGTTCGGTGCCTTTGTGTTTTCGCCGCGCCAAGCGACGAGAAGAGGCTCAGCCACCAGTTCCATTGTCACAGCCCGCTCAGCTGGGCAGACAAAAAATCATAATGGCATGGTCATTTACATAATACGTGGAGAAGAAAGCGAAGGACATTGCCATCTTTCTCTGGGACTGGATTTAGCCGCAATAGTGAAAATGGCACCAACATTTTAGAAAAGCAAGAATTAGAAAGTGCAACAGTTTCAGGGAAAACTTTAAAACCCGGTCTGGCATAGCCTCTTGTTCTACTTCAGCCGCAGAAGGAACAGCTGAATCGACCCAAATAAACCCGAGTGCCGCCACCCGAGCCGCAGTTCGATCGGAGTTTCCAACAACGAAGTGAGATCTTGGGAAGCCCGCTGGCCCAGCCTCGGAGCGTGCACTCGGCGTCATTCCTTTCTCGCCGCGCCAACCACGGAGAGGAGGCCCAGACACTAGTACGACTTTCAGAGCCGAGACTGCAGGGCGGAAAAAAAATATTAAGGCTCAGTCAAGTACAGAAATGCGGAGAAGCGAAGAACACTGCCGTTGTAGTTAGAAATAATATAACCGCAATAGTGAAAATGACAATCATTTGGAAATTGCGAAAATTCTTTACAAAAGTCACAGGCAAAATTTTAAAAGCTGAACTGGCTTAGAAGCTGGTTTTATTTCAACCGTAGAGCCTGATGAAGAACCAACCCTGGAAGCCGCGCGTACAGCCGCTATTGCAGAAATACTGGCCCCTTGACTGCGCCCTGGCAGGTACGTTTGGCGTCTTTGCCATCTCGCTGCTCCAACCGCAGGGAGACACAGCCACCGGCTCTACCGCCAGACCGGGCGCAGGTGGACGGATGTGTAAGCAATATGTGATCGCCATCAATAAAGAAATTTATTTATTTATGCAAACATCGGATAACTTACATTTGCAACAGGCATAGGTCGCAGTTATCCTTCTTTTCTATGTGCAGTGCCAAAATAGTGAAAATGGCAGCAAAATTTTAAAAAATAGCATGTGTAATAAGCATGTGTATCAATTGCCGTTGTATGTAAATGGCGCAGGACTTTCTTCTTACTAAATTTTCCTCCTAGTTTTCGAGAGCAACAAAATAGAAAGAAATAACATTCACAATGACACTTCTAAACTTTTCCTAAAACGGAAACCTCCCTATACCGGATATTTTTTTCCCGATCGATTCCATCTTAGACAGATTTTACTCTACTTTCGAATTGGAGCCGGGACTGGACAGTGGCCGGACTTCCTCCCTTCTCCGGCGCCGGGACTGGACAGTGAATGTGATATGTTCGCGGTAAAACTGGACCTGGTGGACAGGTTCTATCATGTCCCGTCCACCAGCTCTTCCGCCTGAACAACGACATCCACAACAGACGTGACAATTCACCTTCCTGCCTATGGTCTGTCCCTTTCACCTCTGCTGATGCAGACGGCGATGAGAGCCGCCCTCGCCTAACTTTGTGACGCACAATATTTTGTGTATTAGGGCGTCATTTGCTCCCTAGTGATAATAAGGAAACGCTTCTACGAGACATCATGAAACTCCGACAAATCGGCTTTAATTTCAATTAATGGATGAGTGTTTTGAGCCCCAATTTGATATTTAAAGAAGTTGATATCCCAGAGTGTCTATTTGAATTTCAATTTAGGAGAACAGTCCACGTACATTGTATACAGTAAACATATATAGGGCGATGGAAAGACGTGACTCAGTGCAGGGTTTTGATATTCTGACATTCCTACCCTAACCAACATATAAGTTAAATTCTGAATAGAGATAGAATAATATTTTCAGCAAGAATTTATAAGAAGAAATCACTCCTGTGTAACAATTTGCAAAGACGAACCCCACTAAAATACTGAGGCGTGTAGCTGACTTGAGTGATAAACGTATCACCGCTGACCCGGCGTACGTCCGCGCTGTGGCGGGCATACCGGTAACATGGCTCTGGTGTGAGAGATTTAGAATGTGTATTGCCAGCATGTCCAGGGGCTGTCGATCGCCGCTTCCTCGCCATATCCCGGTGGGCGTTGAAAGCTCCTTTCAGCGCGCGTTCGTGTGCGAATAATTGTGTATAGTGTTTGCACGGACCCCGTCATACGGGAATGGAAATTGTAAAGTATAATTGGTAGCAACCCTCGCGGCACTCTTATATTTCTCTAATTTTAAGGTAAATTTGTTTATAG